TTTCTAAAGGCAGCAATAAATAACACTTTATTATCTAAAGTGTCCATGTGAAGTTATAAAATAATTTTGTGAAATGAATAAATGCATAATAATCGTGAAACCGTGATTATTCCTCAGACAATAATCGTACCAACAAAATCTATAATCGTTGCATCCCTGATTTCAAGTAACAACAATTTTTTTTATTTTATTTTTTTATATATTTTTTTACGTTTTAAAGCAGGGTTATTATAGTTAACTAAAACATGTTCTTAGTTTTACTTTGCCCAATCCATCAATCCACATTATTCCAAAGAGTGAAAAAAAAAATTCATGTTTTCATGATTTCTTTTCTGTCACTTTTCCCCCTTTTCTACTGTTTGAAGGACTGGTATGACGACTGATATTACAGACCTTGCAAAAGAGGTGTATGGTGTGTTGAGTCCTCAAACACAAAGACCGGCTTGTCAGACTCCAGAGCAACAGAAGAGGAAGAACAAACCCCAGTTCTTCATCAACAGCTCCAACAAGAAAGCAAAATCAGTTACCCTCCATATACAAGGCTTGGATGGGGCAGTATGTACCATAACAAAGCTTTCACACATGCACTTGGTTGATCTTAACTGGGTTTTTCTCATATTTATGCAGATTACAGAGTAAAATTAGATGTTGCCTTGTGTTGACAGGATCAGAGAGGAGTGTGTGAGGAGGCCCTTTTGAGAGTCAAAGGAGTAATCAGCTTCACCTTCCAGATGGCTCTGAAGAGATGCACTGTACGCATCCGTGCTGACCTGCCCACTGAGGTACACAATATTCCTCTTTCTGTAAGGGGAGAGGCAACTAATAAAAGCAGATTTGATTTCATGAAATACTAAAAGCAAATATCTTTTGTTTAGAGTCTGGCCACTGCCATTGCTGCCACAAAAGTGCTTTCAGCTAAGCAGGTCTTGAAAAATGAAAATGGAGAAGAGGTGGGTGTTTCTGTTGCTTTTAAGTATGTATTTCAATGTTTTACAGTGAGATTGATATGCTGTTTCAATAGTTTTATGACCCATAAACTTGATGTTATTTATTTACATGGCTGTGCTATGGTTACAGGTTCTCATTCCACTCAACACCTCTGGCTCAAAGGTAGAAGAGAATTCCCACCTGCCTGATTACTTGCCAGAGGATGAGAGTCCGGAGAAAGAGCTAGACCGCGCAGTGTCCCGTACTGGTGCCAAACAAGACACCGGTGGCAGCTGGCTGAACACAGCAGCCAGTTTCCTCACTAAAACCTTCTACTGGTAAAGCTTGAGTTTCACAGACTTTTCCTGGCTGAGTTTGGACCTCCACATTTTTAAGACAGATCAGCCTAGAAGAGCAAGTTGCACCACTATTGGAGCATAAAGCAGCTGACAAATGTGCTTTATCAAGCTACTAAAGGTGTTGTTCAATTTATGAGCAAATGTGTGAGATCTCCGCCACGTCACAACTCTGTATTGATATATAGATAGATGTTGAGTTCATGTTGTAAATGTATATATGTTTATGAAAACATGTCTTTCCTCCCTCTCAGGATCCAAAATTTCCTGTTTCTGCTGTCAAGTTTGTCTGTTGTATCATCTCTCCTCCTGATTTCTTGTAAATATTTCC